AGACCGACACGCTGACCCGGGCCAGACTGGCACTCCTGCAGACACACACACAGACCGACACGCTGACGCTAGAGGTACAGTTCACTAATTACAGGCAGTAACATCATTTCCCCTGGCCCCTCCCCCTCCTGTGTCTGTGTACAACCCCCCCACCTTTGCTGCTCCTCTTCCAATCGGATGAGGGCATTCTCCAGGTCGTTGCTTGGCTCCTCCTCCTCGGGGCGGAGCCTGCCGCTAGAGATCTCGAGCCCCTCCTGGAGGAACAGGGAGCGAGAGGGAGTGGGAGTGGGGGAGGCAGACAGAAGCGGAGAGGGTGGTAGTGATTGATCTGTGAGAGAGAGACCCTTGTTTTAAGATTAACGCTGAAACTTCAGCTTAAGCCAAGTGCACAGCATCAGCATGAGGAACGTCTACATTCCAGCCTAGGAAAGCGAGACGTCATGGCACAACTGACCACCAGGGGGCAGAGTACCAGCGACTCCACCCATCCCTCAGCTGTGTGATACAGCTCAGGTAGCCGGAGCCCCTCTTGCTCTGTCTGCTGTGGGCTTGTTTCAGTCACTGGGGTGATGTGTGGCACAGCTGAACCAGGAGCTACAAGTGACACTGCAGTGCACGCAGCTCAGTCGTCACCCCATCCTGCTCTCCTGACACTGCCTTCACACCTGATCACCAGCGACAGGTCTGCACTGCTAACGTGGGCAGGATGAAAGAACTGATCCAAGTCACCACAGTCACCAACGAGTTTGTCTTCTATTACTTATAAGATCATAGAAACAACTGCTAAAACTAAACCGGAGGATCACCTGCACGGGAATCAGAATAGTCAGTCTCTCCCTCTCGCCCTCCCTCTACACATACAGGGCTCCCAGGAAGAGGTGCAAGGGTGGGCGTCCCCTGGTGCCCAGACTCAGCATTGCAAGCCCCCCTGTGTGGACGCTGCCCTCACTCACGGTCAGTCTGTGCTGCTCCAGCTCGGAGGATTTTTCCAGCAGGCTCTGCTCCAGCTCTCCACACTTCTTCTTATACTGCAGCACCTGAGGACGACAGACAGCGCCAGAGCTTCACCACGGCGCTCAGCCAGAGCAGCAGAACAGAACAGAGCTGATCCAGCGCCGGCTCGTCTGGGTCACCTTGGCCTGCAGCTTCTGCACCAGCTGCGCCTGCCTCTGCTGCCCCTCCTGGTAGGCGGTCAGCTTGCGCTTGTAAGCGGCCTGCTCCTCCTCCAGCCTCCTGCGCAGCTCCGTGTTCTGCTGCGCCAGGCTGCGCGACTCCAGCGAATCGCGCTCCCTCTCGCCCGTCTCCACGCGCAGGGCCTGCTCCAGCTGCGCAGAGCAGAGAGAGGATGCAGTGGGTCAGGCACAGCCCCAGCCAGCAATCACACAGGGACAGAGCAGGAGAGAGTGAGGACGAGAGGGGGCAGAGGAAGAGGAGGAGATGGACGGGACTTCAGCAAGTCTCTGCTAGGACCTGCTCATCTTGCTGCCTGTGGATAGGCTGCAGCCTCAGAGGCGAGAACACCCAGAGCTCACAGAATCAGGTTCTGCACAGAGGGAGGCAGGAGGTTACTGTCATGACTGCTAGGAACAAATGCGGCTCGGTTATTCCACTGAGAGTCTGGGTTTGAGCCAAGTGCTCCTGACAGAACCCCCTCCATCACCCTCAGCCTCAGTGCTTCAGGGCTCCAGGGGCTGATGGGATAGCTTACCGCATGCCCCCGCGACCCTGGCTCCTCCCCCTCAGTGCCAGCCTGCCAGCTGATCGCCTGATCCAGCTTCAGGAAAAACAGATCAGAACGAGAGAAGCTCTGAGAGAGAGAGGGAGCAAGAGCACTGTCTTCTGAGCCACAAACACAAACACACAGACCAGACACAGGACACACCTGCATCACTGAGCGACCTCTGCCTGCAGACACACTGTGCTGTAATTCCAGTACTGTAATATGCTTTCTGCAGTAATACTGTGCTGTGATACTGTACTGTAATATGCTTTCTGCAGTCACGCTGTCCTGTACACAGTAAAGTTATTGCAGTAAGACAGGAAGATTCTCAGACACCATAGCACTGCGCGGATGCACTCCCCTGATCTTCGAGAAGACAGAAGGTGAGGAGTTTGTCGTTTGCCTCAGTCACAGGGCTATGACACAGAGAGCCCCCCGGCGCCCCCTGCTGGTGCACATTGATACCCACGTCAGCATTGGTCACTGCGGCCAGGCCTCGGGCACGCAGACAAGCCTCCAGCTGCAACACAGCGACACGCGCGGTCACTCTCTCACTCCCGCCTCTCACACACAGCCCTCTCCTGACCCGTGCCCAGGGGAGCAAACAGTTAAAGCATGCTGGGTAGTGAGTCAAGGCACAGCGGCAGCGTGGAGGTGGAGCGAGATGGAGATGGTTTCCACGACGACCCTTTGGCTGGGCCCTCCCCCTCCCCGCTGTTTTCTAATGCTCTGTAAACACAGCCCCGTTTCCATGGAAACCCTGCAGGACCCCAGGCCTAGCTGGCCATTTTACTTGCCCGCTCCACCCTCTGCCTGACGAACTGCCCCGACTCGCTCTGCTCCTGCTCCTCTGGGGGTCCTGCCCCCTGCTCGGCCATGGCGCCCTTTCCCTCTCAATCCCGATCACCGTCGCTTTCTCACAGTCGCGTCTTTTCTGTTCTTTAATCTTTCTCCTGTAATCTCGCTGTATCACTTGCTGTCTGTCTTTATTTCTCTGTTGGTCTGTCCCCCCTCATCTGCACAGGTTGTGCTTTTACTCCAGATGTGTTTTCTCTCTCCCTCTCTCTGTCTCCTTCTTCCTGTTTCTCCCTGTAAGACTCTCTCCCTCCCTCCCTCCCTCTCAGTCTGTCTCCCTCTGTTTCTCCCTCTCTGTCTCACCATCCTTGAGAGCTCTTGTGTGATCAACACACTACTCTCCCCTGCAGAGACACCCTGTTTTCCTCTTCTCACACTGCTTGTGCTGACTTGCATTTTTAAACTTCTATGTTATTTAACTTGCTGTTGCTGCTGCTATTCTGTGTTCAGGTTTTGGTGATTCCTTAACGTCTTTGTATCCGAGAGCACGTGCAAATAAGCATTTCACTGCACTTGTGCATGTGACAAATAAACTGAACTGTCTGTCCCTCTCTGGCCACAGTGCAGCTCTGTTTCTTTCTCCCTGAGGGCCTCTCCGGACAACCGCAGTGACCAGTCTCGATGGACAGCTTGTGGTCACTGAGCCTGTACTTTAGAAAGACGTTCCTCTCTCCCTGGACAGACACCGCTCTGCTGCTGTGGTATTTGAATGATAACCAGACCCTCCAGACCGAGAAGGGAGCTGATTGCATTGCCACTGTATTTGGTAAAAGACGAGCTGGCCTTGCTTTTTGTAGTAATACTGCTCACACACCCTATTAACCCCACTGCCACCCAACACTAGGAGCTGGAGCCCCAGCTCTGAGACTCTCAATGATGCCCCCCCAGACCTCCTCTATTCATGAAAATGTTTAACATCACCAAGAGTAACTAATGCCATAGCAACCAGCCACTTCATTCATTCCAATCACAGTCGCCATGGAGACGGAACACAGCCATAACACAGCCTGCTGCCGGAGACAGGAGTGTTCCCCGAGCACACGAACTCCCAGCAGAGAAGACGACTAAAACACCAATCAGACAGCTGGCAAGAAACCTCTCTGCGTTCAATTGGTATTTCTGCCCCGTCCAAAGCACAGAAGTTAGGTTTGCAGGAAACTGCAAGTAACCACAGTGACAAGAAATTCCAGGAATGGCAGCTTCTTGTAGCTGCTAAGACAGCTCCCCAGCACACAGACAAGTCCACACAGGCCCGGACACCGAGGCTGGAGAGGGGCAGGGGCCTGCTGTCCGAGAGAGAGCCTCTCCACGCACCACTGCCTCACTCCAGCAAGAGGAGACAGGACCTGCTCTCTGGCCATCACTCAGGAGAGACACAGGACCTCTTGTCAGCAGCCATATCACCCTGCAGCTCACAACTGGCAGCCCACTGAAGCTCAGCAGGTGTGAGCCTGGTCAGTACCTAAACTAGGGTTACTGCTGGAAGAGGTGCTAGTGGGGCCAGCAGGGGGCGCTCACCCTGTGGTCCATGTGGGTCCTAATGCCCCAATATAGTGACGGGGTCACTATACTGTAAACAGGCGCCGTCCTTCGGAGGAGACGTAGAACCGAGGTCCTGACTCTCTGTGGTCATTAAAAATCCCAGGGCGTCTCTCAAGAAGAGTAGGGGTGTCACCCAAGTTTTCTCTGGCCTTTACCAATCATGGCCTCCTACTAATCCCCATCTCTGAACTGGCTTCATCGCTCTGCTCTCCTTCCCACTGGGAGCTGGAGTGTGGGGAGCGGACAGGTGCATCACCCAGGTGGGGCTGCACACTGGTGGTGGTGGAGGGGATCCCCATTACCTGTAAAGCGCTTTGAGTGGAGTGTCCAGAAGAGCGCTATACCCTGTAAGTGTACGGAATTATTATTCTTGCTCTCTGGCGATCACTCTGGGAGAATCAGAGTGCACACCACAGCTGGAGAGAGAGGTGGAGGCAGAGCAGAGACATGAGGAAGGCCAGAGGGGAAGAAGCAGGGGAGAAGCATCTGAGAACTACAGAACATGTTCACTTTTTTAGTTCATTTCCTTCTCATTTTAGGAAAATATTTATGCTAGTAATTTAATCTCTCGCTGCCCTGTTCAGGGCTTGAAGGCTATGGTGTATACAATTGTTACTTAAATTGCAAACTGTTGGCATGCTGGTGATGCCAGCATCACACCTGAACCCCACTGATTCTCAGGGCAACGAACCCGGTTCTGACTGGGCCCAGTGGATAGGGGATCCCGCTCGGGCCTGCTGACGGGCCTGTGGGGGCACTGGGAGACTCACCCGCTCACTGATGGCGCTGTACTTGATGGCCAACTCATCGCGCTCCGCACGGCTGTGAGCCAGCAGGTCCTCGACTCTGGCGAGCTCTGTCTGCAAGAGCCGGTTCTCGTCCTGGAGAGAGAGCACGGAGGACATGGCGCTCGGCCCTGGCAGGGGGACAGGGAAGGGAGAGGCCGGTCTTAGTGGATCTCCTTCTGCAGGAAACGTCCAGTATGTGTCTGTGTGAGGAGAGGGAGTGCTACTCACTGGGCTCGCTCAGGTTTTTAGTCACAATCTCTCTGATACGTGCAGGCAGGCGGGTGGGTGGGGAGTCTTGGGCTTCACCACGCACTGTCAAATACTTCTCGTCTCCAGAAGACAGGACGCTCTCCTCCAGTCTCTGAGTGAGAGAGACATACTGACCAACTGGACAC